GAGGGCATGGGACTCAAATTTTTAATCAGCAAAATTATGGCCTTCAATACACATCTGTCTACTACTACCTTCAAGAATAGAGACATGAGAGATATGTTTCTAATATATAATTCTATCATAATAACAATTAAATCTACAGTTAAGTGGTTATTATGAATGTCAATACATTTTTATTTTATTGAATTGAAACTAAATCCATATTAAAACACCTAATCCTTCAATAAACGGTCCTAACCCTTATACCACGTTTCATAATACCTTTCGCAATCAAAAATTACATGATTTTTCCTTTGAAGACTACATTGTTTTATTATGACTATTGTACTATAATACTGACGAAAACGGTTTATTGAGCAAAAGATGTCTGTAAAAAATCTTATATTTTTTCGTCTATCAATCTATTTTCGTATGGCAATTATTCCACATTATAAGCCTAAATAATCTTGTTTCATACACAACAAGTTGTAATGGTGTCTAGAGCTTTTATGTGACGATTTATTTAGCGAGTAATATAGTTTGTTTTATATGTAATATGTTTTTCCGTTCGCATTCCAACAATATTTGGAACGCGGTGTAACAGGAAATTTGGTTTAACCAATGAATTATTTAATTTGAAGAACTATTTGATTTATGGTAGTATTTAACTGCAAATAAAAAAAAATCCTGTTTTATAAAAAAAACTCAATCCTAATCAAAAATACTGATTGCACAGCGAAATATTTACCTAAAAATATTGTTATTTAGCAATAATTTGAGGTTGTAACGCGTTAAAATAACATTTGAAAAGCGACCACTACACCTTGTAATGCCACGCTGGCCAGACAGGTTGCAAAATAGTTATTTTTAATTTATGTACGAGTATTATGTTTGTACCCTCTGGGTAATTTGATGAGCCATCAGTATATTTGATACGAAAATAATATATTTTCGTACATTGAGCAACTTTTTTGTGGCACATTTGAGTAAAAAATATAATACACTATTGATTTATATTTTAGAATTATTTCTACTACTAGTATTGTTAAGCAATTGGTGTATTTGCAGTGAAAAAAAAATATTTGATGTAAAAATTATTTAATTGATGAATATAAATAGTTGGGTGATAAGTTAGGATATTAGATGTTACATATCAAATATACAATTACTATAAGGCTCGTTCATTTTTTTAAATTACATTTTCACACACAATTTCATTTTTTACATTTTTTTTATTCTAAATTGTTGGCAAGTTTTAGTCCTTACCCCAGTAAATATTTTTAGTTGTCATGATAACATGACAACTAAATATTGCCTAATACTAAACTAAAACTAAACTAACCGATAAACAGGTGGTAGATATAAATCTACCACCTGTTTATCGATTCACCACATCTGTTTTTAACTCCTACAATCGGAGAAATATTGCTCTAAAAGTTTTTTAAGTTGCTTTTTAAGGTTTTTAATAAGTACAGATTATGCAAAGCCTTTTTGGACAGTCAAATATTTCAGATGATGATAGCGTTAAAATTTTCATAGTAAACTATTACAATGCTATGTTTTCTATGACAGGTTACGAACAATACTCTCTCTGTTACCTGGAGAACTCTATGAGAACTAGATGAACATTGACTTGAAGGAATAAAGTACAATATCAGTTTTGATATCTGTTATTTTGCACCTTTATACAAAAAATTACCCTCTATAATCCAAGCAATCGTTAGCCCAAGTTTTAAAGGTATGACCATGCCAGCTCAACCATAAAAGCTTAACTAACAAACTTTCCAATTTGTACGGCTTTCAACTTTAGTCGGGCAACAACAGGACGACACTACGTCAAATTACGTACACAATATTTCCAGAGTTTGTTTGGTTTCAACCGCAAACATAAATGCTAGTATCCAATTTAAATTGATTCGAAATTCCAGAATTTAAGTTTGAGGAAGGTCGCGGGTTCGATGTAGGGTTGTATAAATTATACAGTGAGCCAAGGTTTGTTAGTAATCAAGGTCTGGATGTAACTGATCCTGTGATTCTGCCGGGAATCCTGTTAAAGCCAGGATTGACCTTTGTAATGAGTTGTTCAATATACAAGGCTACGGATCAATTGGAACTAGTCTTGATTTTCTTTCAAATGAAAAAAAAAACACTGATATCAGTAGAAAATTGAAATAACAGTGCAGTCAATTGTGTTCCCTACCTCCTATTATAAGGCTCTTACATTTCTTAAAAGTAACTAATACTTGGCAGGCAATGCTTGGGGACTTGACAAACATATGTACAAACAACGGATTCCACGAACAACTAAACTAGGGATTGTTATTTTGGATCACAAAAAATTACAACTATAATCCGTGTGTGAATCGATCGAGCCTACAACCATCGGTATGACTTAGTGATATTTTCAATGTCATTCTTTTTAGAAACTAGGTAAAAGGTCTTTGAAATTAGATATAATGATAATTATGTTCTGCACCTGCAAAAGTAGAAGAAAGTAGTCCTTAATATTTAAATTGTTGTGTCCGTAATATGTAAATAAAGCGTAACTAGTTAGTTAATAGAAGGTAATACAACCACCTGCATGTCATAAACGCCTTTATAATTGTCGTCTTTTCTTGACTACATGAGTTTCCCTTCTCTTCGAAAAGCTATCCTTGTTACTTCGGCTTATACAAAAAAATACCATACATTTTTATAAAAACATTAACCTCCAGCCCGCATATTATCTTGTTATTTTATCGTGTATAGTGTGGGACCACTGCCAGCTCAGACAGTTGTGTTTCCTAAATTTCTTTAGTATGACACTTTATTTTGAACTAAAGTCATTTTATTATCTCTGCCATCTCTCGCACACATTCAAATATCTAATTTAAAAGCCATGCAGAAGTTACAAAGCTTTGAGTACGCACGATGTTATCTAATGTAATTTGAGGGTAGATGAACAATTCAAGTCCAGTGAACAGATACGCTGAATTAATTCTTATGAGTCATTGTAACAAGAAAATCATTGTACAGTTAAATACACAAGTAATTACAAAAAAAAACAAGTCATATTTTTTTTAGTTCTTAGACTTCTAATGACACTATACACTTAAAATATTATTAGGCACACTGTACATCTGAAACTTCAACTATCATCATCAATCTATATGCAATTTTATTTAGGTTCGGTGTCATAGTCGGATTATGTTATCCACAGCCTACTTGACGTTTAGTAATATAATTATTTTCCAAGGATAGGGAAAAAGAGCTCGTTTAAGAAATATTGCAAGTCTTGGGCGGAAAAGAGATTGAGACTGCAGTAATTTACAAGAGGCCAATCCTTCCTACTATTAAAGACGCCACTAGGACAGCGATAATTCTTTAAACTCCATTACAATTCGGTTATAACTGCTAAAGCTGGTGTATTCAGATTTTTGCATTGAATAAATTATATTCAACCGAATCCGTGTGGTTTGGATTAAGAGTACGGAGTATCACCACCCCTATTCATCCCGTGGGTGTCGTAAGAGCCGACTAGTTGAGCAAACTACGCAGTACAACAGCACTGGAAAGAGAAGGAAAACTTGACGCAAACCATAGGGTTTGGTATAGACCAACCCGTCTAGGCAGCGTGGTATAGTAGGCCAAAACCTTCTTCCTAAGGAGAGGCCTATGTCCAGTTGTGGACTAGTAAAGACTTTTGTTACTTGAGAATATAATGAAATAATATTCTCAAGTAACAAAAGTATGTGGGTGGAACAAAAAAAACAATTTCTATGTACCCACGCAAAACTCTATATAGTTTCATAAAGATTTTTGTACCCGACAGTACTAACCTAGCTATAGCTGTCTGGGGAGTTGTCCCGATGCCAAGCGTCAGAATTTATTATCAAATATCATTGTTACTACGTTGCGGTGATTATAGTGAATTCAAGTCATTTTTTGTGTTTCAATTCCGTTATATTCAGACATTCACCACTAAATATCTTATATTAAACACAATTATATAATACTGCACTGATGCACTGCCTGCACGGATGGCGTAGTGGTTTAAGCGGTCGCCATGCCGTTTCCTATTACGCCGAGTGTTGTGGGTTCAAACCCCACATAGAATAACACTTTGTGTGATCCACAAATTCTGAGTCTGGGTGTACTTTGTGTCCGTTTCATGTATGTTTGTAAAGTCCCCCGCGACACAGGATTTATTACTAGTGCGGGAGTTGTCTTTAAAAAAAAAAAAACTTAAATACTTATTCTTAATAATATATCCTGATATCTGTTTAGATGCTCGTGGCTAACAAGGTTAACTAACATTGTAACAATTGTAACAATTGTAACAAGGCTAACAACACATTGTAAAGTTAAGCAACACTGGCCAGGTAGGTCTATGGATGGGAACAATCTTAACACATTGAGAACCCTCCGTGCCTCAAAGAGTACGTTAAGCCGTCGGTCTTGGTCGGGAAATACCGCATACGACAACTTCTTTCACAGATTAGTTGTGCGAGGCAAAATGTATCTTGAAAAGCGCACAGTGATGGAAAGCCAGGTAATGAGGATGAAAATTTGCCGTGTGAAACGATGGCGGTAAGTAGCGGCCGGTACTAATCTAAACAATTCCTTTGAGCACTCTCCATGATATATACGACAGAGAATACAGAGGGAAGTCATATCTCAACGTATCCCTTTCCCTCGGATCGCCAACGCGTATAGTCGCCTGCACCCGTGCGGTTTTTATTAAATTATTTGAAAAAATAATAACTTAAATTATGAGCAAGTACTAGGCGCGCAGAACACAGTGAAGTCGACGCTGAACGCGGTGTAGTGACCGATAAGGACAACAACACCTGAGGCGGAGATACTATCCTCGTTGCGCGCATTTCGCACTGCCGACGCGTGACCTTGTGTGCACTCACCTAGTAACAGCAGGCGGCGCACCCACACAAGCCCGTGCGCTCCGTTAGATATACTTCAGCGTACGCTATTAGCCGGTAAATATTATTGCAAGGTGCAATATTGATACCATAATAATATAACGAAAAATGTCGGTCAAACGCACACCGCCGAAAAGTAGTTCTAAACTACTTACTTCGCCTGTTCATTACGGATCGGACTCGGCGATTTATTCACTCGAAAATCAGGAATGTGCTGACCTAAATATTGCAAAGAGAAGTAAACGCCGACGGAACGACCCATCTAGCGCCGCCGACATCACACTATCTGATCTTATGGCAAGGATGGACGAGATAAAGAAACAGCAGGACGCTAGGTTCGCCTCACTGGAATCATCTATAATCCAATCCCTATCAGTTCAAAATGAGGAAATGAAGGAGTCAATAATGTACCTTTCGTCTAAATACGATGATGTTCTTAGTAACCTAAAAGCGCTTCAACAAGAAAATAATTATTTTAAAACACAAATTAAAACCCTTGAGGCAAAACTGGAGCAATTCGCAATAAACGCTCGATCATCCACTATAGAACTTAGAAATGTCCCTACATCAGAACCCGAGACTAAGGAACAGTTAGTTGAAGTCGCAAAGAAAATCGGCACGCTTATCCAGGCCCCAGTTGAAGACTCGGATATACGAGATGTAATTCGGATGAAACTCAAAAATCAGGAACCCGGTCCGGTGTTGGTGGAATTCACCTCGACTATAAAGCGCGAGAGATTCTTAAAGGCCACAAGAAACTATAATAAAAATAACACCGGTCAACGTCTGAGTACGTCTAGTCTCTGTATAAATGGACCGACCAAACATATATTTGTATCTGAATCCCTTACTGCGCCAGCGCGACGACTACATTATCTGGCTAGAATGTTTGCTAAGGACTACAACTACGAACACTGCTGGACATCCTTTGGCAAAGTGTATCTGAAACGTAGGTCGAATGAGACCCGCCTTCGCATAAGCTGCGAAGAAGACATCGAAAAGCTGAAGAAAACCAAGTGACTAGTTAAGTTTTTCCTCTTTAACATTACTGTAATTAACTTTATTGCATGCAAAGTACTTCCATATCTTTACTCTTATTGTTCTTATACTGTCATTTATTTTAAAAGTATTATAACCTACCTAACTCGGACACATGCAAACATACATACATATAAACACTATGAAAACATATACAAAACAAATACAGTTACTAATACAATACATTCGCAAAGTTACAAAATACACTACACACTACTAACCCCTTACACACAAACAAAACACAAGAACATAGCTACACCAAAACGCAACGTCGTACTACTCCATACTTATAATTACGAATCCCAGCCTATAATCAAATATCATAAAAAAACCATACTTCAAAACTCCGAAATAATAACTAAAAGCCTAATACTAACTGCATACGTTAACAACCATTACTCCCACTATTCGATACTGCCCAAGACAATATAAACAACATAGACGCTGTATCTGTTTCTGAATCGTATCGCTGCGAACTAGATGACTGTACCCCTACTGACTTTGAACCTGAATATTCGCTTAAGGTCCTAAACCAAAACATTAGGAGTGTCTCGAAAAACATCAACGGGTTCTACACTATACTATCTAGAACAAAGGTGGATTGGGACGTAATAGTCTTAACAGAATGCTGGCTGCGTACTGCCCCAAATATACCTGACCTGACAGGCTACAACCATTTCCAAACCACAAATAATTTTACACAAAATGAGGGCGTCTTAGTTTATGTACGCGAAGACATTAAAGTTACTGTGGAGGAACCTTCTTTTCCAGGTGCTAACGGATTGCTTATAAAACTTAATAGGAATATTATCATACTAGCGTTGTACCGGCCACCTGGGTACAGAGACATTCCTAACTTCTTGAACAACTTAGGTAATATACTACTAACAATAGAAAAATATGATAACATCGTAATAACTGGAGACATAAACATCAACATTCATCCCGACCACCGAGATTCAGACAAACTAAGTTACCTCACTCTGCTAGCCACTTATGGCTTGCTACCAGCCCACAACATACCTACTCGTCAAAATGCATGTATAGACCACTTTATACTAAAGACTGTGCTACCTGCCACAGTACTAGTTGCCCACTCTGCCCTAACCGACCATGAAACTGTTCTGTTGTTTCTCGCAACAAAAACTAAAAGAATAGTCGCTAAAAAAACAAGAAACCGTATTAACTATGAGCAATTAGACAGGGACATAAATCAAATTAACTTCAGCGATATATACAACATGCACGACGCAAACCTGGCAGCTGATACAATGGTAAATCTTATTAGACAGGCCATTAAAAATAACTCAAAAATTGTTAAAGTGCCCAACCGAAAAAAGATAGTTAAGGATTGGATCACCCCGGGTTTGCTTCGATGCATACGACACAGAGACAGCTTGCACAAACAATACAAAAAAACACCCAACAATGAAATTTTAAAACTATCCTTTTCTAGATACAGAAACTATTGCAATAATCAGCTTAAAAAGGCTAAAATAGAGTATGATAAACGAGAAATACACAGGGCAGGGAATAACACAAGACAATTATGGACGGCTATTAATAACATAACCAATAGAAGCAAAAAGAAAGAAAATAATTCCCAGCTACTAACATTATCCAAATCTCCACATACTTCTGTAAATAAAATAAATGACTTCTTCGCTGATATTGGAAAAAACCTAGCAGAAAAAATAATGAACACAGCGGGTGACCTCACAGAAACAATCACCTGCAAAAACATTCAATCCATGGCACTGTTACCTACTGACGTGGAAGAGGTGGAAACCCTAATTATGTCTCTTCGTGGTGACTGTGCTGTAGGCTGGGACGAAATCTCTAGCAACTTACTTAAAAAACACCGAGCGATATTTGTACCCCCACTCACACATATCTGCAACCTAGCTCTAACCACAGGTAGATTTCCTAAAATCTTTAAGAAGTCGATTATACACCCAATCTACAAGAGTGGGAGCAGAGAGTGTGTCAACAACTATAGGCCCATAGCTGTCCTTCCCGCTCTGTCGAAAATACTGGAACGTATCATGAATACAAGATTGGTCAACTATTTAGAAAACCAAAAAATACTTTCCCAGACACAATATGGTTTCCGAGCGGGTAGATCGACTTCTGACGCCGTACATGATCTAACAAGTTATGTGGTCGAGAACCTGGATCGTGGGAAAAAGGTCATAGGTATCTTTCTAGATCTAGCAAAAGCATTTGACACGGTCTCTGTTCCCATCCTAATGCAAAAAATGGAAAATGTTGGCATCAGGGGGCAACAACTTGGGCTATTTGAGGACTACCTTAGTGAGCGTTCCCAGAGCGTTAAGGTGGATGACTTTATAAGCGAAGACCGAATAGTGACGTATGGAACGCCCCAGGGCAGCGTCCTTGGCCCTACGCTCTTCCTTATCTACATTAACGACCTGGGTAGGCTTACTTTACATAATGGCAAAATTATAACTTTTGCTGACGACACCGTTCTGCTCTTTAGTGACAACACATGGGATAGCGTCTTTAAGTGTGCGCAATCGGGTCTCAACGCTGTGACTAATTGGCTTCGAAGAAGTGTTCTAACATTAAATGCAGATAAATCTAACTACATCGCCTTCTCTCTCAACGCAACCGCAGCGTCACACGTCGATTCTTACAAAATTACTGCTCACTTCTGCCTAAACCCGAACGATTACCTATGTAATTGCAGTACTCTAAACAGAACAGATAAAGTGAAATACCTTGGTGTGATTGTCGATAGTTGTATGAGGTTTCAGGAACATATTGACAGTCTTAATTCAAGGTTACGCAAACTGATGTACGTCTTCAAAACAATGAGGAGGGTAGCAGATGACAAATTAAAAAAAACGGTTTATCTGGCATTGGCCCAGTCCTTATTGTCCTACTGCATCACTTCCTGGGGAGGAGCGCCAAAATCCAACATGATAGACCTAGAGAGAACGCAGAGAGCTATCCTCAAAGTATCCTACCATCTTCCGTATCGCTACCCCACACACCAATTATACAGAGACACTAAAGTCCTTACAGTACGACAACTGTTCCTGCTAGCAACAATACTTAGGCAACATAGCCTATTGGATTATCATCCACCATGTCCTGTCAATAGAAGGCGAGTGAATCCAGTAGATCGACTCCAACACTCCCAACGCACAAAATTTGCAAAGCGCTTTTTTTGTCACCTTGGAGGTTTCCTATATAATAAAATAAACGGTACCCTAGGCATACTCCACCTAACAAAAAAACACTGCAAAATGAAACTAACAAACTGGCTCCAACAACTCAATTACAGCGAAACAGAAAAAATTCTTGATATCCCTGGGTAGTGATACCATGCAAACGCAGAACAAAAGACACACACATACACATGCACACATACACACCCACACGTACGAATGCGCGCGCGCACACACACACACACACACACACATAAACACACACACACACACACACACACGTGCACACACATACGAAATGCAATCTAAAACCTACACAATTTGTTAAGAATAAATCCTAAAACAATGTAAAGAGGGGAAGACCTGGTGACCTGAAATACAGGCCAAAAGCCTACCTTAGGTACCAGTCTCCCACACTATTGATTCCTATTTTGTTATTGTTTTGGTTATTGTAATTGTTATCATGTTGTGGTGAGAAATAAATTATATTATTATTATTATTATTATTAAAGAAAGGTCTGCAAGGTAATGAAAGGGATCGAGCCGATCGGAAATCTTTGGGCTATCGACAATTCGAGTCGCTCTTCGCTGGGTGGGGTCCAGAGGGAAAAAATGATACTGAGGTGCCCCTGCATAGAGATGACAACAGTATTCCATATGCGGCCGGACTTGCGCCTTATAACAGTGAAAGTGAAATACTGCCTCGATCTTTTCAGCACACAGAGATTCTTTAATACCAATATGAGGTATGTGCGTGCACGCTGCTTAAAATAAATACACGAAATAGGTATACACGAAATAGTGACCTTACAGGCAGCTCTCGTTTACCCGACTTTTATTTTACGAATTTTTGCTCGATAGTTATACTTTCTACCCAACAGCCCACGGAACAATCCATGCTATAGAAGATGGCAATTAAAAAGCATTAATAATGAAAAGCTGTACTGATTCTGGTAGGAAAAATAACAACTATCATCAACAGCCTATACTAGTCCACTGCTGGACATAGGCCTCTCCTTAGAAAGGAGGTTAACAACAACAACAACAAGTAATAATAATAACAAGTATAATAATATGTAATATAATAATAATATTGTACCACATTCACACAACGCCATCTAGTCCCAAACTAAGCAGAGCTTGTACTATGGGTACTAGACAACTGATATAAATACATATATACTTTTTTTTTTGTAAATACATACTTATTATGCATAGAAACACCCAGACCAAATCAAACATTAAATGTTCTTGCACACAATTTTTTTCTTTTTTTTAAAAGACATGCGGGGGCATTAGCCATATATCCTGTGTCGCGGGGGACTTTACAAACATACATGAAACGGACACAAAGAACACCCAGACTCAGAACAACAATTTGTGGATGTGTCATCCCATGTGGGGTTTGAACCCACAACTCTCGGCGTAGTAGGAAGCGACGTGGTGATCGCTTAAACCACTACGCCATCCGTGCAGTCGAAATGTTTGACTTGAGCGGGAATCGAACCCGCGACCTTTGGAATAAGAGTCCGTTACACAAACCCCTACGCCATTCGGTCGTCGTATTTGACAAGAGAATATTTAAAGTAAGTATTATAGTAAAATTACCTTGAGTCTTGTAATTATTTATATATAGATCAACCACTTATAACCATTTAGAATAGGTGCTAAATGTATAAAATGCTCAATGATTTCTTGAATATAAAGAATAATCAAGCAGTCTACCATAGTCCACTATTCGATATAGTCCTCCTATTATGTGTCTTATAGCTCCCAGAAAACCGATTT